TCATGTTTTACATCCCTCTTATAGAGCTATCTAAAACATACAGTATGTTTCAAGTAAAGAACCGACTGTAAACGGTTTGAAGTCTTACCCTGATCTGGAGCCACGCATTCACACTTGTAAGATGTTATGTAATCTGGCTTAAATCCCCGGTTGATTGGGTAATATTTAAAGGTTCCAACCTGTGAAAAAGAAAACATGTTGCTTCACATCTATAACAAGGAAATCTACAAACGTTCCAGCATGTTACTGACCATCTTCTTAATGGCATCTGAGATAAAGATGAAGGAGATGAGGCTGGAGAAACCTTCTTCTGTGAAGCGGGTCATATATTTGATGATGTAGCTGGCGTCTGAGATGACCAGCAGAAAGCACTGCAGACACGAGTGCAGACCGATCCACAGACGGAGCTCCATGTAGTCTATGTTATTGTTCCTGGGAGGGAAGTCATTCAGAAAAAAGAGAAGATGGTAACTATTTACTATTGAGTTTTCAATCCCTTACTGAGCAGCAGGAGAACATGTGGGTAATCAGGGATGGGCGGTTTTTTAATATTGGCAAAATAATGTAAAATACTTTCTGTGAACACAGTCTGTGATGACATCTAACTATCTATAAAGCGTAAAATAATCTGTGGCTTCTTCACAGTCAAGTCCCTGTGATACCACCCTCAGTCAGATCACAGCTCATGTTCTCACATTGCGGGCCGACACTCTGATGCGATCTTATGACGGCCGACTGAATTTTTAAACATGTTTAATTTCCCCCCCATATCTTACCCCTCAGTTGTGAGAGGCTGATCACCCATTGTTACCCCCTGTATACTACAGATGAAGCCGAAACTCGACCTCAGTAAAAATTTCTCTCACGACTGGAGAATTGGCCCTAAAAGGGCAAAAAAAGTTGTACAGTTTATGCAATTCATGGGATTTTTCTGTAAAGGTTTTTTACAAATTGAAAAAGGGGTATTAAACAAAGCACCATCTATTGATATTCACATGAAAAAAATAATAAATTGAGTGCACATGTGAGGAATATAGCATGTAAACACAGTTTCCATGTGATCAAAAGTGGAAAGGAAAATGAAATAAATGAACAAAATGCTTTGTCATATGTGGAAAATGCGATGGAATCACATTTAAAATTCATTGGATTTTCATGAGGAAGATACATGATTTTTTAGGATTGACTGTATGAAGTGTTGCACTACAGACTCAGACTAAAACTAACCTTCCAACAATGGGCATTCCCATTTTAAAATACTTTCTTCCTCTCTTCCTTCCCTTTGCAGGATCGCAATCAGTACTCGAGTTGAGTTGTGATGAGGGGGGACGGCCTCCGCCTTCTGAAATGACCATCCCACCATACCATCCCCTGTGACGTTTTATTACTGAATGTGTAAAATTTCTACAATATATTAACAGTAATGGCAATATTATTGCCATTTCAACATTTGGCAGGCTATGGGCGTACGAGTAGCCTGAGCCAAATAAATAAAATCGAAGAAGTGGCCTACCATGATTATAAGCTGATCCCAGTGGGAAATGAGTCCCTAAATTTGTAGGGGCAGTGATAGCCATGCTAACTATTTAGGGGCAGTGATAGCCATGCTAACTATGTAGGAGCAGTGATAGCCATGCTAACTATTTAGGGGCAGTGATAGCCATGCTAACTATGTAGGAGCAGTGATAGCCATGCTAACTATGTAGGAGCAGTGATAGCCATGCTAACTATGTAGGAGCAGTGATAGCCATGCTAACTATGTAGGAGCAGTGATAGCCATGCTATGTAGGTGCAGTTATAGCCATGCTAACTATGTAGGGGCAGTG